CTGCCCTCGACCATGACAAGTCTCCACCCTCTTTCAATTTCGTCTGCACAACCCCCGAAACTGAGCGAAAATCAAGGGTTGTGGAGGCCAAACTTGTGTGAGCTTTGGTGCTTTGCTGCTGCTGTTGCAGCCGCTGCTGCTGCCACTGCTGCTGCTACTGCTGCTTTCTGCTTTGTTGTGCTGCAGCTACTGCTTTGCTGTTGCTGCCGCTGCTGCCACTGCTGCCGCCGCCGCTGCTGCTTCGTTTGCTGCTGCTGGTGCTGGTGCTACCTTTTTGCTTTGCTGGTTTGCTGCTGCTGCTGCTGGCTGCTTGCTCCTGCTCAGAATCTTCCAACCGCTACCTTTCGTCCACCACTGTCGCCTCAAGTTAGTCAGTCTTATATGTTTCTGACATTTAGGAAGCTCCATGTTTGGACCGCCTCTCATCGATCATCCCGGAGTTGGGCCCACGGTTTCCAGGGTGGTGAGAATACCTTGAATATGGAGCGTGTGAAAAACAAGGAAAGACATGAACAGTGGACGTTGATTTTCCCAACATAGACCGTTCACGGTCAGCTTTGAGGCTGGAAACAGGCCGCTTTCGGCCGCGGGCATATCATTTCCGTGGGCCTATCGTCTCGGCCATCTGAGCACCAAACTGCCCAATGAATGGGACCTAGTTCACATGGCTTTGGAGTTCAGGATTATAATCGTCCTTGAAACGAACACCAACTCACCAACTAACCAATTCGCTGGAATTCACTTCTGCTACCAATTCGCCGCGCGAGATGTTTCGCAGCACAGTGAGCGGTTTTCGCACGCTGAAGAAGCCAAGAGGAAGTACCAAGCCGCAAGCTGCGAAATTTTTCATACGAGGATCTCCCACATGTACCCACTACAACCGACTAGAGATGGCCTCCAACCTACGACCGCGATGGCCTCCAACCTACCAGCGATGGCCTCGAACCTACTAGAGATGGCCTCCAACCTAGTAGCGACAATGGCCTCCAACCTACTCCACGACCTCAGGACCATGAGTCCGAAGAGGACTGGGAAGTGATTGACCCACTTTGATCCCACATCTCCAGTGAAGACTCGGCCAGCGAAGGCACCAGGGTGGCAGATGAGTGGGTATCGCCAAGACTCACTGATTCACCACCGATCGGCCCGTCTTTCGTGCAGAACGTCAGGCTGGCATAGGCAACAAACGCAGTGCAGAACGTCAGGCAGGCGCGACTTTCGTTGGCAAGGTGCGGTTGCTCAGTTTTTGACTGGTGAAAAAGTCGCATCGCATCGGCTGTTGAGCTTGCGATGCGTTTTCCAGAAGGTCTCACACGAAAGTTTGCTACTGTAACTGTGTCACACGGCGCCCCAGGTCAAAATTTAGCATTATGATGAAATATGGTTATAGCACGTGGCATGTTAAAGACATTCAAGATCCGTTCAATTGAGGTGCATTACTCAGGGAGCTGGGCAGACGAATTGGCGGCGATTATGGCCGACAAGAACGCCGAGTCGTATTCTGTTCAAACGAAGGGCGGACAAGGTTCATCCATCCCACTTGTTGCTGGCGGGCAGCCGGGAGAGCTGGCCTCTACTCCCATGAGCGAGGACTTCCCACTGATCGTGATCCCTAAGAAAGCTGAGGCCAGGCGGCTTGTGAACATAACATGTTGTGAATAATGCGTGAAGGCAATGTGTAATGTTTGCAAGTGCATTTTTCCTGGTGGCATTGGGCGCCACCCTGCACGTTTAAGTGAGTCAAAGGTGTCGATGGGCTCGTGTTGATCGGCCTCAACGTATCCGCACCGATGTCCAGGCAAATCCTCACAATCCTCAACGGCCGCAAGGGCTTGAAGGTGTGGATTGGTTTCACTCATCGCAGATTCTCGGCAATCGTCGAAGTTGACGTGCTTCAGGACTTGACTTCATGCGTGAGTTCATCAACCAGAGAGCAGGCGGTCCAAACCATGGAGCCATGGCAGCATCGGATCAGCATCGGCAATCTTTTTTCGCCGGCATTTTTTCCCCTAATCACCTTAAGTGAGGAAGAATGTACAGAAGGACGGACGTGACAGACCCAACCTCTGCGGTATGCATATATGAATATACATTATATCATATCATATGTCATATAACTATAAACACATACATATGTTTCGAATCGAGCCAACACCATGCCAAACCAATCAATTGTTCTACACGCCAGCATTGGCAGCCTCGGCAAAAGTGCGACCTGCTAGATATGTTCATATTTGCATATATTTGCGCTGTAGTGGGAGGCAGGTGATTTGCCTTTTTGCCACCCTCATTTGTTTCACGCCAAGCTCTGCGTCGACCAAGCCTGCTCACTTTCTGGACTCTCTCAACAAACCAGCCAAAACCCAGACCAGCCAGGCCAGAGCAGAGCCAGTGCGTTTTGATGCCCACCCATGTGTGCAAGCCGCGAGTCACAGCAGAAACAGCACCCCTTTGACATCCTTTGACGAAGTTCGTTGAGCCACGCACCGCAGCCTCAGCCCTCAGCTACCCAACGTAAGCCAAGCAAGCCAAGACATCCAACGAAAGATGCACAGGGAGTCACAGGTTGTCATACGTTTTCCCTACATACGGACGAAAACGAAGCCATCGACGGTGAAAATGTTTGAAATCCGAAAAGTCGAAAAGTTCGTGTCTCTTGTGCCTGAACAGTCCGCGAAAACTCCGAACAGTCGGACAGATTCCGCTTCAATGCCCGAACAGTTCCGAAAATGAGAGGCAAATTGAACGTCGATGTTTTTGACTCTTTGATTTTAAGCGCCTTCTTGCAAACAAGTTCACGCTGCTGAGTTGTGCAATGGACCTGCCACCTCTATGCATGTTGTTGGTTCCTGCCAAGGATGCTCCTTTGAAAGGTGCTCTTGAAGCTAGAAAATAGTCAAGCAAACCTTTCTGTTTGACATCCTTTATGCAGGGCATGACGGTTTGGAGGGAAGAGCATCAACCTGATGCTGGTGATGCAGGCCCCAAGCCGGCATTATTAGCATTTTTGATGCTGCAAGGAGCCTCAGAAGTACTAGGACGTAATTTGTCTTATGTCCTAGTAGATTTGCGGCATATGCGAACACCTTTCACACTGTCACATGGTGATGAGCACAATCGATTCTTTTTGTTTCCGGCCAGCCGGCCAGCCGGCCACGGGCGCGGCCGTGATGGCGGGATGGAGCGGTGCGAAGGACGATCGAACGCTACGAACGGCTCCTGGCCTTACGAACGGCAGGCAGAATGAGAGGGGCTTTACAGTCCGCAATCCACAGTGCAGGAACCGTTTTGATGGCTTGTTCGGTCACTGGCGTCGCAGCACTGTCACACTAGGCATTGCACCCGTTCAGTGCTGCCGAAAACGAAAAACAAGACGAAGAGGTCTGGCATTTTGAAGATTTGTCCAGCGAAGGCAACACACACCTATTCAACTTGGCGGCCTTGGGCCTTCAGCCCTAGCTTGGCAGTACCTCCAGTCTTCCACATACCTGGATCTTCAAACGGCGCTAAAATTTTGCCAGATGCATATTTCAGTGAAAAGACGCCATATCAAAATAATTGCCGTTTTAGGGTTTGCAAACATGTGCTTAAAACCTATGGACGGGGAAAGACCCGGTTTGGACACCTTTGGAAGTCTAAAAACGCTGTTTCTTTTGGTTTCTACCGTTTTCCGCCTGGTCACAACAAACATGCTGGCTTTGGGAAACGGCGCCGTAACGGCATTTGTTCCTGAAAAAGGACCATGATTCATGCCGTCTCGAAGATCCAGGTATATATAAATAGATAGCAAGACCCTAATGAACATCGTCTTTCGCGGCCGGATGCTGACGGCGAAGACTTCGCTCGTCCAAGGGCTGGATCTTTGGCTTTGTCTGGCAGGCGGGCACCGAACTGAGGGCGGCCGAGGTGGCCGAGACCGCTTCAGCGGCCGAGGGACCCGAGCGCTGTAGGGTGCGATTTGCGCTCCAACTTTGGAACAGGAATCCAGACCTCTCACAAAACCCTATGAATGTGTTGCTGGGGCCGGCAGGTTGCTTGCCGGGGCCCGGTGAGACGCCCTTTGGTGACGGTGAGACCATGTGAGACAAAAGCCCGTTTGCGGTTCGCGTTGTTCTAAGGGGTACCCGCTCACACCGTTTCGCGAAGAAAACGGTGAACAAAAAAACAATGTTTATCGCGCGGGTGCCTCACGGAACCCCGTAGCTCGAGCAACACCACTTAACCAGCACAGGGCCCTCTTGACCACGAGCCCCCCGCCTTGAGGCACGTGGACGAGTGATAAGCTTGGTGAGTTGAGCTTTGGCTGGTGAGGCGTATGCACATTTTTGTTTTTGCCGCGTGGCGTGGCTTGTGGTGAGTTGTTCTTTTCTGCGTCCCACGGCAACGGGCTCCTGTCAGACTGTCGACTGATTGGGCACCAGGCCACAAGCCAAAAGTGCCACGGCGCAAAGAAATAACCGAATCAAGTTTTGGAATGATGTTTTAAACATGTTTTTTGGAGTGACAATTGAACTAGCCAGGGCTTTCCCCATTACTGGGACTCAGATAATGTCTGGAGTGTGAGAATTATCCACAAAGTTTACGTGTCCGAATAGCTCTAAATCATCCGAATAGCTCTAAATTGGTTTAAACGATTTTCATCTCAGGTTTGCCAGGCCTCGGGTTCCGGACCCCTCGACATGGTCGACCAATGTTTGGTTCTTGAAGAGGTGGGAAGAATGATGGAGGTATATATATAGATTTTGATCTACAAATTACCATAGCATTCTGCATGCAGGATCTTTGCCTTGCTTGACTCCAGGTTGTAGGAAGTATCTTAATCAATGTGGGTGGAACATGAAACTGGCTTGGAAGTGGCTGGTGTTTTTGAAGCTTCCACACGTCGAAGGAGTTACTGTAGTTTAATGTCCGACGATGGAAAGAGTGTGCAAGATGTCACATTGAATCATTGTGTTGGCCATTCCTAGTCTTTCACCAAGTGACATGTTCCATCACCGAGATATCAAGGGCACGGAAAAGCGTAGAGAGGACCTTGAAATAGGTGCTGAAAAGTGCAGAGAAAACATCAAAAAGGGCAGAGTGGAAGGCCCATTCTTGTTTACTAACGATAGATTTCGTAGTTGCACTGAGTGACTTGAATGAAGCAGAGTCGTCCCTGTGAAACAGCCTGTGTGCATGACGCCTTCATCCAAGACAGGAGCCCGTCTTGACTTCAATCAAGCATGGTGCATCTATCGCTGGCTATGCTCCCCTGCCACGAAGTCGGATGAGCAGTTTTTTACCTCATTCAGTCACGGCGAGCAGGCGAGCAGCCGCGCCACGGCGAGCAGGTTTCAGCGACAAGTCTGCAACCTTGCTGAAGCCCCTGGGATGTCACAGAGACAACCAAAAAGGTGTCTCAGTAGGTGTTCGTGGGACCTTTTTGCTTTCAACGTCTTTCAACATTTGACCCAGTTGCTGTTCGATCTAGCCAGGACCCATGGATGAGCTGGGCATGTTTTGATCAGGTGTTTGTGTGACGAAAGGAGTGCAGATATTATGCGCAGAGATTTTTTGTAATTCCAACCACTAGCAACGAATCATCTACTGGCATGAACACCTGCATTCACCACCCCATGAGCTTGAAAGACACGAGACTTGAAAGACACGAGACAGCCAGGCCTACACCGGAAAAAATCACATGAACTGGCGTTCTTGCGTTCATCCAAGACAGGAGGACTGGCTATTGGCTATACTCCCCTGCCACGAAGTCGGATGAGCAGCATTCGATGTTGTGTTTTTTACCTCATTCAGTCACGGCGAGCAGGTTTCAGCGACAAGTCTGCAACCTTGCTGAAGCCCCTGGGATGTCACAGAGACAACCAAAAAGGTGTCTCAGTAGGTGTTCCTTGGACCTTTTTGCTTTCAACGTCTTTCAACATTTGACCCAGTTGCTGTTCGATCTAGCCAGGACCCATGGATGAGCTGGGCATGTTTTGATCAGGTGTTTGTGTGACGAAAGGAGTGCAGATATGTTTTTTCTCTTAGGAGAACAGGGCTGGACAACAGGCTTGACTGCGCCGTTTGCCCCTTCTTCATTGCCTTGTCTTCACTGCCCTTTCTTTCTGTGTGTCCGGTCTGTGTCCGTCTTCGGCGCGTTGTCGGTCTCTTATGGCCCTGTCGGGCCTTCTTTGCTGCGATGAGTGCACAGTGAAGCAGCGTTTCAAACTGACGTAGTCCAGTGTCCCAAAAATCGTTGTTTACACTTAACAGGGAGGCTATAGGAGTATAATTACAGACGTTTCCACCAAGAACTGATGCCAAAAAGCCTGCTGAAACTGTTCCAGTCTATGCTGGTATACTTTACATGTGAATCTGCAGGGGAGTAGTTTAATTTCAATTACTGTACTATCGCAATGAATCATCTAGGGCTCCTGGCATTACTACTCTCCTGGCCTTACTATAGGAGCAAGAAGCCACTAGGAGCATCTGGGAACAAAGGGCATTACGAACGGAGCGATCGGACGCATGTCAAAATCCAACCCTGGCATACCGGGTTCGTCGGAACCTTTTGAGACAAGTCTGTTCGCTCGAATGGGTGTTGGTGTCTTCCGAAAAGGGCGTCCTGTTTGTCTTGGCTCTCCCATCCATACCGCGACTAGGAGCAAGAAGCTACTAGGGGCTCAGTACTCGTCGTGTGTCGCACTGTGTCGCGGCACAGCACCACTGCACCACAGCCTCCTCGGCCAGACTGACGTCAGCCCTTGGTCTGTGCAAGTATTGTCTTGACTGATTTCGCCATGGTCGTTCCCAAATTGGAGAGCAAAGCCCTGGAGAGATTTGAGCATCGCCAGCAGGACCCTTTCCAGGTGTTCCAGTTTGGTAATTGGCGTATTCTTTGTGGCCTTAAAGTTGCGTTCAATTCGCTGCCAAGCTCCATAGGAGAACGATCCACAGGTACTTTAGGACCAAGCCTAACAAGGGCCATCCGTTCTCTTGGACTGATCGCCTCCGACACGCGTCGATCACATCGGCCGATGTGATCGGTCGGACGGCCCTGATCGGTCGAAAGCGACCTTCCCAGGGGCCGCCTACCCAGAATCTGTACAAAGCAAGAGATGTCTTATTTCTTGCAGAGCAGTCGCATCAGAGTTCGCCTGCACGAACCCTGCCTGCGACTCTGCCATAAAATCAGCCAGATCCTCCCGCAGATCAATGATTGGCCGCGAGTCTTGCGATTCCAGAAAATCAGAGAATCACAAAACTAACATGGAATGATATGGGGCATGTTTTGTCACCTGTCCACACTTTGAATGGTTTGGCTGCAATATCGATGCCTAGATTAAAGGGATGGGTAATAATTAGAGTCCGGTCCGGTTAGAGTCCTATTCACTTTTTCTTACTTTCAGAAACTTGGCCTGAATCTGGTCCTATGTTTGAGACCAAACCATGGGAAGGTTTCTTGGTTTCGGCACATGCGAGCGCAGGATCGTAGTATGCCAAAAGACAGATCGGGAAAGGTGGTTTATACGGAGCCTCACCTAACAGACATTTTTTGCTTTGTGCCATCTACTCTGAAACAACCTGAATAAGAATTCCAGCTCAATGGAGTGCCACAACCTGAAATTGGAGACTGTTGGCAATGACTCCTTGGACGAAGAAGAGACGCCTGTGTGGGTTCAACCTCTGTGTGGGTAGGTTTGAGAGCTGTTTTAGACATTGTGCTGGATTTTATAAAGCCAGTCAGTGGTTCACCTAGCCACTACAAATCAAGACGGTTGAAGAGGGATACATTTTTGGAAGCGTGAGGAGATCCAGAGAGAGGTTGGCGAGGTTGCCGGTTGATTTTACCTCAGATCTTGTCAAAGGTCCCATTCCAACAAAGCAATTTCTCGAAGACTGAGAGGTCCGCCAGCCATTGTGGCAAAACAACGGGTACGGTAAATCCGACAGTGTTAGAGTGACTGTAAATCAGGTTGATGAAGGAAGAACATAAGGGACCTAACTAAACTAAAGCTCAGAATTGAGAAGTTGAATTGATCTCCCTAAACCGTGCTTTTCTCCATGCTGGCCAGCTTCGCAGATGGTCTTTGATTCTCAGGCATGTTGTTTCGTGTACTATGAATGCATAAAGGGGCATACTATTGTAAGAAAACACTAGATATATTTTGTAGGCAGGCGTTTGAGGGAAGAGTATGTAGTGGTCATGTTGTGCATGTACACTGTACATAGGCAGAGCAACTTTAACTTGTTGTGTATATATTGTTAATTGCCATGTATAAACAATATAAATAAATAAATATGATATGTATCGTTTGCCTTGGAAAGGACCATTCCATGTTCTTCGGCGAGCCTTCCTGTCGTGCTTGGTGAATGAGCAAACAGTCACATCGAACAGTTTTTGCCGCCAGATCTGCTGAGGCATCAGACAGAAAGTTCCTTTTTCGTGTTAGGAACTGACATGGCCGTGACGCAGTGAAACGTAGTGAAAGGGCCAAAGGAGTTTGTCTCAGAATAGGGCAGTGGGTGTCCTGACGTTCTATGTTTCGAAGTTTGCTCCTCACACGAACAAAGCGAGCATGTAGAGAGAACAGACTCGAATTTGATTGCGCGCCGTGCGTTGGTGAAAAAGACAGCCACGGAAACGCAACCCGCGCAGTTGTTCACCGCGATGTTCACCACGTGCGCGTTTGGCAGCGCCCTCGCCACGCTGAGGATCAAGAAGATCACCGAGGAGGTGGCCACGATCCCTTAGAAGCGGCTGCGCACCTCAGCGAGAAACTCCGCGGAGCGGGGCCAAACACACGGAGAGCGGGAAGTAATAGACCTCAGCGGAGAGGGACCTGAAGGTAACCATCACCTTGTCCAACAGGGGAGGACCTGAAGTCCACTTTTACATATTCTGGATGTCTTTCTCACAAGTTTCAGGCGGTTGGGCGAAGTTGCCCGATCCACAGATACTGAGCCCGGTGGGGACTGTCTGTGTCACCGGAAATTCCTAGTAACAAGAAGCTACAAGTAACAAAGGCTTCTAGGTTGGAGGCCGTCGCTATTAGGTTGGAGGCCATTACTACGTACTAGTAACAAGAAGCACTAGTAGCTAGAAGCTATTAGGGTGGAGGCCATCGCTATCAGGTTGGAGGCCATTACTACTAGTAACAAGAAGCTACTAGTAGCTAGAAGCTATTAGGTTGGAGGCCATCGCTCTTAGGTTGGCGGCCAATACTACTAGTAACAAGAAGCTACTAGTTGCTAGTATCTAGAAACTATTAGGTTGGAGGCCATTACTACTAGTAACAAGAAGCTACTAGTAGCTAGAAGCTAATTAGGT